TGTAATGCTTTTCAATGCCCAGGTGTAGCCCCCACTGTGCGCGTTGAGAGAATCGGCCGGCTCGTGCAGATGGGGGCCGGAACTGTACCATGCAGCCGAAGACTCTTAACATTTTTGTGCTGCCCTGCTTTCCTGTGCACAGCAGGTGCGGTGATGCGTTGTTCGGGAGCGATGATGACGAGAGCAAGTTGTGCAGCATGACGGCGTGGTCCATTGCTTCGGGCCACTGGTGGTTGGGCAGGTGCATGCCACGTAGCAACTTGCGCATGGTGTTCTGGAGGGTCCTGTTCATCCTCTCTGCTACTCCTTGTTGTTGATGGGCGTAGGGAAGGGAGATGAGCCGCTTGATTCCTCTTTCAGCCAAGTACTGCTTGAACCTTTGTGAGGTGTATTCTCCTCCCCCGTCTGACTGGAAGCTCTTCAGTTTGACGCCCGATTCTCGCTCTGCTACTGGGAGCCACGCGACGAAGGCTTCGAAGGCCATGTCTTTGCTCGGAAGGTTTAGATGCCAGACGTATCGTGTGGCGGCGTCGATGAAGGTGATGGTGTAGTTGTACGCGTTTTGTCCAGGCTCGCAGTTGTACAAGATGTCGCTGTACACCTTCTCGAGTGGCGCGTAAGTTGGTGTGCTTGGGTTGTGGTGAGACGCGAACGGTTGATGTGGTAAGTCAGCTTCGGGACAGGTGAAGCATGTTCCTCGAGCTCGCTGAAGTTCTCTGCCGTCAGTTAGGAGTAGAGAGTCTTTATCGAGCACGCCTGCTCTTATCGTGTTGTTTAACACCGTGTTGCTTGGATGTCCCATTCTTGCGTGCCAGGTTCCTTCGGTGGCGCGATGTCCGGGTGAGCGCCGATACATATCGGAGTTGGAATAGAAGCTGGCGGTGAAGTTGGTGCTGCGATGAACTTCTCGTGGTGCTGGGTGTAGTTGTTGCGCGGGTGTCGGTGGTGTGTCGTCGACGAGGAGTGGTGCCGTTGAAGGACCAGCGACTGGCGTTGACGTTTCTGCTGCTGTCGATGTTGTTTCTGCTGCTGCCAATGTTGTCTCTGCTGCTGCCGATGTTGTCTCTGCTGCTGCCGATGTTGTCTCTGTTGCTGCCGATGTTGTCTCTGCTGTTGTCTCTGCTGTTGTCTCTGTTGTTTGAATTGTTGCTAACGCCCTTGTTCTTTCTGCCTCAGGGATGGTGTGTGAATACCAGAAGCCGCCGGGGCTGAAGTCTGGATCAAGGTCTGGAGGGTGGGTCCAGGAAGTGAAGGCGACGATGCCGTCGCTGTCTGCTGTGCCGAGATCTGGAACAAAATCAAGAACGAAGACGTTATTTTTCAGGATCGCCTTTCCGATGTAGAGAACGCCCTTCCCGTGGTACAGCTTGAACTCCTGAGTGGTGCTGTCTGCTTCAAGGTGGATACCTTTAGCCATCAGTTGGCTAACGCTGAGTAAGTTGTAGCCGAGACCTTCTGCGATTAAGACCTTGGACATTTGTAGTATGACATTTGTCTCTCGTGACTGAAGTTGAACGATTCCTTGTCGTCGTGTGCGCAGGCTTTCGTTGTTGGCAACGGTGATGACTACTTCGCGTTGGAGTTGGTTCTCTCGTTGCACGAAGCGTCCTGAAGAACACATGTGTTGTCCGCAGCAACTGTCCAAGAACCACGTGTCCTTTCCGGATGGTTCGCTTTGGGCGATGGCTGCGTATGTCGGATTCGGCTGGAGTGAATCGCGGTGAGGTGTGGTGTCGTCGAGTTGTTCTTCCGGTGAGTAGTACGGTGGTGATCCCGTGATGCAAGAGTCGTTCAGTCTTGCCATGCAACTGACGATGTTCCTTGCTCCTTGTGCAAGTTGTCCTGTTGAGGTCGTTGAGGCTTTAATCTGGGTCGTAGGATTTGCTTGTGTTGAGGCGACTTGATTGCTTGAAGGTCGAAGCCGCCGCTGTGAAGGCGTTGACTGTTGTCGATTCGGGCAGTGCGTGCGTGGGTGCCCTGACGTCTTGCAGATGTGGCAGAACGGAGGTACGGGCTTCGGTTGTTGTTGTTTGTTGTTGTTGTAGCGTCGCTGAGTGTGGAATGCAAATTCCGGTGCTGATGTCTTCTTCTTGTGTCGTTCTTCTTGCAGGTCCATGTCTTGTTGCTCGGCATGGATTTCGGCGCAGAGTGCTGCTTCGGAGATTCTTCCGTGGGCTCGGAGAATGGCCTTTGTGGCGCGCCATTGAGGACCGAGGCCGCCAATGATGACTGTCACGAAGGCGTCTTCAGAAATCGACCCTCCGCATCGAAGAAGCTTGTCGCGCAACTCGCGACATCGGCTGATATACGCCATTCCTTTCTCGCCTGGTTTCATTTCGACCGCTGTCAGTTGCGCCATTAACCGACTTTAATTTACGCTGTCTGTTGCTTGATACAGGCTCTTCAAGTGGTTGTATGCGAGCTCCGCGGAGTTGCCGTAACCCCGGTAGGACCGTATATTCTGCTGTTGAGTCGGGGTGATGTTTCTCAGTAGAATCGTGTACGCCATCATCGACTGATAGGTGTACTGCTGCTTCTCATACTGTGTGCCGTTTGTTGGGTATGGCAGGGACCCGTCGAAGAAGCCAAGTATCTGCACGCCTTCCATCATTAACTCGAATTCAAACGACCAGGTGAAGAAATCCTTTCCATCGAAAGGTCTTGACGTCTGCATCTTCAGAACGTGCGCGAACTGCGACTGAACTTGTAATGCGTCCAGTGGCTTTTCTTGTCCAGGTGAAAGCTGCGGGTGTGGCATAAAGCTAATGGACCAGCGCTCGTACGGAGCAAAGGTAGGCTGCTGCTGTTGATTTCCTCGTGCGTATGATGAGCCGTCGAGACTCATGGGAGTTGCTCCGTTGTTGTTGCTGTTGTGTGACTGCGCAGGTGCCGATTGCTGGTGTTGCTCGTAGAAAGACATGAAGGAGAAGAACTTCTCCATCATACTTAGATCGAAGCCCGCGGCTTGGTTTGCGGGAGTTTCGGTGGATGTTGCCCTGGGTCTTGTTGCCGTACCCTCCTCTGTCTGTAGGCCAGAGGCAGGAGGTGGAGTAGGAGTAGTGCCCTGGGAGCCGTTGGAGGAGCTCCTTTCTTTTTGTGTAGCCATGCCTGTTGATGTTGTAGGTGTCTTGATAGTTGAATTCCCCCTGATAGCTCTCATACCATGTTGGGCTGAGAAAATAGCCCTTAGGATCTTTGCAGGGGTGAACTCTGGGAAGGACTGATGTAATAGCGGAAGCTTTAATGAAGTAATTGAACCACCTTGCGCTAGTATGTGAGGGCAAAGTAGATTGATTAAAACAGAGAGATACAAGATTATATATACGAGTACAAGGAATATGAAGGGTTACAGTTATAACTGTTTTACTATTGCTGTTGCGGTTCGATACAGTGACGACTCGGGCAACTGCTCTGTAGCGAGTCAGTTGTGTGTCCTTGCTGTCGCGCTGTACTCTGTCAGGTCAAAGGTCGCTGACCTTTGGCTTTCGCGTAACCTCCAACAGTTGTTTTCAACCTCCGAGGGTTGACTCGCCGGTGCTTCGATATGCTTCGCTTCGTTTGTGCCTTAGTGTTTCGACACGACAGAGGCGCTTAAGATTGATTGTTTCCAACACAGATCAGGGTGATTCAAGCATTTTGCCTGACCATTTTGGGCCCTGCTTATGGAAATTGTTTTCTTGGAAACCATACATAGAGAAAGGCACCCAATGATTCACATACTGTATTACCCCGGATAAAAGCGCAGGTGCGCTTATAATAAATCAGTGTTTTTGGGGGGGGTGCGCTTATAAATGAGTCACGGGCATAAGCGCATGCGCTTATATAATGACAAATACAGAAATATGTTTTAAGCGCACCAAATTGTTCATCTTAGTCTTGTGATTCCAATCGAATCGAAATATTAGTGCGCCTTAGATCAGAATCGTGCGAGGGCGATTGATTCCCCCCCCCCCCCCCCCCCCCCACGTGTGTGCTGTCAGCCAGCCAGCTTCGTGCCATTTCGCGCGAGGGCGATTTTTTGCCTCTTCGCCCCCCCCCACGTGCGTACTGTCAGTCAGGTTCGTGCCGTATAGCTTTTCCCGCCCTTACCGAACCGAACGGGCGAGTATGTTGGCCGACTTGTCGAGGGTGTCAAAGCAAAGGACGTAGACTCGCTGCAAAGCGGAAAATCGTTACGGTACCTAATCAGGAATAAAATACAAGTATGCATGCGCTTATAATAAGTAAAGATTTCACAGGGGGTGCGCTTATAATTGAGGATCGGGCATAAGCGCATTGCTCCAGATATAAGCGCATGCGCTTTTAATAGGCCTGCGGTTATATCCGGGGCGATACGGTAAGATGCACCCGTACGTAGAGGTTCACAACTAAAACAATTCTCTGGCTCAGCTCAGCTGAAATTCTCTGGCAAAAAGAAAAAAACTCCTGCTTAGCGAGCAACTCCCTCACTTCTGGACGGCAACAGCCACTTTCATGTTCATCCTACAGTGGCCGTACACTTTGCAGCCAAAATACAGCGTGCTGCCCCTTGCTGTCGTCGGCACTGTGAACCTGTAATGGGGACCAAGCAAGGCAAGGCAAGTCACACAAGACAGGTAGGTGCAAGAGGTGTGAAGGATGGAATACAAGACCCAAATTTGTGCATTCGGGTGTTCACAGGTGCCCACAGTCATTCTCCCTAGCCAGTGGTGGCATCAACTAAGGTGCATGAGTGAGCAAGGGAGGCGGCATTAATCAGCAGCATGGGCGGAGTGAATCAACAAGGGAGGCTTCACGACACGCGCGTGGAGCTGACCTGTACGTCTTGCCACTGGCCGCCTTAGCCTTCTCCTTGGCACTGCTGAAGTTGCACTGATTGTAGGCGGCAGTGCTGCTCATGAGCCACACGTCATGAAACCCCGCCCACTTGAACACTGCCATGCCATGCACGACGAGTGGAGGACACGTGATGCACGGAGATATGGGACCCAATGTGAGATACGGGGAGCAAGAACCGGCCATCAAGGCAATGCATACAGCAAGAGCACGGGGTATGCAACCAGCAGCGAAGGAATTTCAGCGAGGGGAGGCGCCAGGAGTGCAGTGGTGGCGCATGTGAGGGGCACGCACCAAGCACATCGCATGTGAGGGGCACGCACCAAGCACATCGCATGTGAGGGGCACGGACCAAGCACATCGCATGTGAGGGGCACGCACCAAGCACATCGCATGTGAGGGGCACGCACCAAGCACATCGCATGTGAGGGACACGCACCAAGCACATCGCATGTGAGGGGCACGCACCGAGCACATCGCATGTGAGGGGCACGCACCAAGCACATCGCATGTGAGGGGCACGCACCAAGCACATCGCCTGCACGGGCAGCGGGAGTGGGCTTCCATCCGCTCACGCCGAACGCCCACCCCTTGTTGCCGCCCACCACGATTTCGCGCGCCTGTGTGCGTGGGGCAGCAAGGATCGTACATGAACATGTTTGCGAGGTCCCTGAGATGACTTGCTCGCATGTGAGCGCATTTCAACTGAATTTAAAGTCTACGCGCCGAGCACAGAACGTTCCGAACAGCATGGGATGAGCGGGACGGAAGCGGGGAAACAGGCGAGGGGAGGCAGGAGGACGAGTGGAGCATGCTCGGCGTTGAGGCTCGAACGCACGTGCTGAGGACTGGCAGTACGGGAGGAGAGGCGCGGGCCGAACGTGCAAGCGATGGCAACGGAAATCAGGATGGGGCAGGCGAGAGGCGAGAGGCGAGAGGCGAGAGGCGGGAGGCGAGAGGCGAAGCGTACCTCAGCCTGAGTTGCAGCTGAGGAGCAGATGATCGGACGCAGTGCAGGGCGCGGAAAGGGGGAGGCCACGATGCGATTGGCGGACAAGATGCGAGAGAGGCAGGGCGCGAAGGATGACATGTCCCATGGGGAGGGGAGAAGGGGGGAAAGAGCGAGGCACAACGCAGTTGCGGATTGAAGCCAAAGTAAGAGGCACGGCATGAAAGTGATGGAACAAGTGAATGGAGCGGGCGAAAGGGAATTCGAAGCGAGGGAGAGGGGCGTACCGAGAAGGGAGAGGGGCGTACCGAGCAGGGAGAGGGGCGTACCGAGCAGGGAGAGGGGCGTACCGAGCAGGACGAGTAGGCCGGCGACGAGCGCGATTGCGGAGAGCGAACGAGCCATGGCGACGACGGACGGCGCGCAACGAGATGTTGAGGCTTGGTCGCGCGAAGGTGCTAGAGAAAGCTCTCAACTCCACGCCGCAAGAATGATGGCGGGCCTTCGACGCCTCGACGCTCCGTCGACTGAGTCGTCTGAGCGACACACGAGGCAGCGATGCGCCGTGCTGGGGAAAACTGGCGGGACGCTTGCTGAGGCTCAGGTTGGTAGGAGGCAGAAGCAAGGCAGTGAGGTGTGAGGTGAAGGGCAGAGGCGTGAGCACATTGACGGATAGGAGACGAGCGGGTTTAAATACTTGGTCATCATTATGGGAGCTGGTGGTGATGGCGCGATGAAGCCGTGTCGCGCGCGCTGGGAGGGGAGAGAAGGGCGCAGTGGGGCGCAGACGGCTGCGCATTGCTGAGCTGCGCGCTCGCGATTATTGGAGGTTGACGGTGTTGGAGAATCGAGTTTCTGCCGCCCCAGCCCTTTGCACACAAGCAGCAGCAAGGGGGAATGTCGGCGATGAATCAGAGCTTCGGGAAGTACTTCGAAAGTTCCACCACCAATCAGATTTCAGCCGAAGACTCGATATAGTTCAAAGCTGCCTTCAAACCGAAGTGTTGGCAGTTTCTACAGGTTTCTACACATCAGAATCAGCTATAACAGAAATATCCAGAGTTTTCTTATTCATGCACCTCATGTGGCACTCAAAGTCACTCAAGGTCCATCCAATCTAGATTGTGCCCAAGTTACCAGGGAAGTTACATTGTCTATCAGCCTAGTTTGAGCTTTCAATCTGTCTTGTTTGTGATGCCTATAGAGTTGTGCTTTAGTGGGCTTGTTAATCTTGAACATAGTGAAGTTTTACCTCATCCAGTCAATTCCAGCAGCCCTGCTAAGACTTTCCAGCCAAGTTTCTAGCCCTCCAGTAGTCACAGCTACTCTTTTTTACAAGTTGGTATCAGAGCTTGTTGTTTCGATCAACCTAGCCCACCACGTTCCTATCCTAGCACCATACGAACATGGCGGGAGACAATCCATCTGGTCCTGCACTCCAGCCAGCCGGAGGAGCTTCAGAGTCAACATCAGCAGCTACTGGATTAGTGGAAGCAGTTGCACCAGGCAGTCCTTCAACAACATACTCACCACTCACCTCCTTCATGCCTAAGCTTCACCTCCCCAAGTTCAACGGCAAAGATTTTCCAACATGGGCAACTCAGTTTGAGCTCACTGCATCCCTTCTGGATCTGTGGCCTTACTACACTGGAGAAGCAGCCAAACCAGCAGCAGATGCTTCAGAAGCTGAAAAACGACTTTACGAACGACGCAACAAGGAGGCCTTCCTCTACCTACTCAATAGCATTCACGAGCAGCAGTTGAAGTCGCTCCTGCCCTGTTCTACCAAGGCAAACAGTGCAGAGGAAGCATGGAGCCGACTGAAGACTATGCACCAGTCAAAATCCGAGAGCAGCCAAGCCGAGATGTGGAGCCGCTTCATGAATCTGAAGATGGAAGAAGATGAATCAGCACAAGCCTACCTACAACGAGCTGAAGCAATGCTGGAGGAAGCAGCAGCGATCGGCTTGGAGATTCCAGAGTCTCTTTTCAAGACCGTCATCCTCACCGGCCTTACACCGGAGTGGGACACTTTCCGTGCAACACTACAAGCGCTCCCGCAGTCAATGAAGAGTCGTGCGTTCATCTTTGAGGCCCTTGTCAACGAGCAGCAGAGTCGAGACCTTGCACGGAACAAGCGGAGTGACGAAGGTGCGTGGAGTGCTGCAGCAGCCACAAGATATGGCAACCAATTCCAGAGGCAAGGAAATTTCAGCCCAAACCGCCCTCAACCCTACTACGGTACGAAATTTCAGTCACCTTCCAACCCATACAAACCCTCTCGTTTTCCTCAGTCAAGTCCTCCCTATAAGTCCAGTCACTATGTCCAGCCAAGGCCTTCGATTCCCAATCAATACCAGCCTAGGAATGCAAGAGTCAATATGCCAAGAGTCAATAATTTCAGCCAAGCCCCGAATGCTAAAAAGTTTAATTTTGAGTGTTTTTGTTGTCATGAGTGGGGTCACCCGTGGTATGCTTGTCCTAAGAAGCCTCCTAATTGGGTCCCCCCACCTCAGCTACTATCTGAAAAAGGTAAGGCAGCCATAGCAAATATAGCAAGTCATTCTACAAGTCAAGATGAGTCCAAAGAGTCCGATGGTCCTGTCCTTTTTAGCGCTGCTACTTGCATGCACGTTTTCTCTACTAGTAGTGAGGAGTTTATTCTTGATAGTGGCTGCTCTGAAACCATGACTCCCTATCAGTCCATTCTCAAGGATTTTCAGCCCTCATATGACTCAAAAGCTGTGACTCTTGCTGATCTTGGCAAAGTACCAATCAAAGGAGTCGGCAAGCTTGAGTTCGAAAAGGATGGTAAGTCATTTTGTGTCAATAAAGCTTTGTTTGTTCCTGATTTGGGAGCAAACTTGCTCTCAGCCGGACAACTCGAAGAGAAAGGTGCCTCCGTTCTCTTGCAAGGGGGGAAAGCCAAAGTGTGGGACAGTGCAGGAAATCTGGTGGCTGAAGGCGAGCGTACCGGGCGGCTCTACAAGATGAAGTTGGAGATTAAGCGCGGTGCTAGCAACACGAAGAACGACGTTGTCTCGCTTCCCGCTGTTTCAACCGATCAAGTCAACAACAAAGGGAGTATCTCCCAAGCTGAGGTATGGCATGCACGCTTGGGGCACGTGGGAGTGCAAGCATTGAAAGAGTTGGTAAATCACAAGAGCGTGGAAGGATTGAGTTTGAATGAAAGTGCAGTCAAGTCCCTTTTCTTCCGTTCCATGTCCATCTTGTGTGGAAGGTAAACTAGCTAGAAAGCCATTCTTCCCTTCTAAGTCTCAGTCAAGGGACCTCCTAGAGTTGGTCCACACTGATGTCTTCGGCCCCATGCGAGACCCTACTCGAAACGGTAAGAGATATTTGGTGTCTTTCATTGATGACAAGAGTCGTTTCTCGTGGTCCTTTTTCATCAACACCAAGGATGAAGTTCACAAGTGTTTCAAGCAATGGCTAGCACTTGTTGAGAGAGAGTCAGGGAAGAAGTTACTCACCTTGAGGTCGGATCGAGGAGGTGAGTACATGGGGAAAGCGTTTCAGGGGGAGTTGTTGGCATTGGGCATCAAACAACAGTTCACTTGTCCCTATAGTCCTCAGCAAAATGGAGTGGCAGAGAGGTTTCATCGCACTATCCAGGCTATAGCTACCACTTTCCTTCAGTTCAAAGGCCTTGACAAGCTCTGGTGGGGTGAGGCAATCACTATGGCAATTTATGTTCGCAACAGGAGACCCACAAGGCCCTTACCGGAAGGTGTAACGCCATATGAGGCTTGGTTTGGAGTTAAACCAGATCTGTCTATGCTTCGTGTTTTTGGTTCCATGGCCCAATACCGTGTTCCAGATGCAAAGAGACTCAAGCTGGACAGCAAAGCTCATTGGGGCCTCTTCATCGGCATGAGCAATGAGAGCAAGGGATGGGTCCTTTGGGATCCTGTCACCAAGCGAGAAGTGGTTTCAAGGGATGTTGTCTTCTATGAAGACATGTCCCTTGCAGGTTGGCATAAGTTTTCCTCTTCCTCCTCTCTACCCTCTATCCAACAGGAACCAGCAAGCGCACCTGAGGAAACAACACAAGAGGAGGAAGAAGATGACACCGATTCTGACCATAGCGGACCGATCATCGATCTCCCTCAAGCCGTCGTCAACGAGTCCAACCGTGCCACGCCAGTGCCACCAGCAGCTACTCAACCAAGTGGAGATGAAGTTCAGCCATCAAATGAAGACAATCCACCGCAGCAAGTCACCGTTCCATCACCACCAAAGGAGCAGCAGCCAACAGTCACAAACCAGCCAGCTATATCAACACCAACCTCACAATTTCAACGCCAACCGGATCAGCCCACCACTACGCCATCAAACCCATCACCAGCCATCACTCCAGAGGCAACTACAGAAGCTCATCATCATCCCATGCAGCAGCAATCAACAGCTACAAGACCCCAAGTACCTACATCAACACCATCTACGACTCTTCCTAGCAACAAGTCAACCGTCACCGCAACACCTCGTTCTCATACCACACGTTCATCACTTGTTCCAACGTCAAGCCAGCTCATAGCACGAGGATCACTTCAGCGAGTCACCACCAACACCAGCTCCAACAGTCCACTTCTTCACCCAAGACCTTTCTCAACTTCACCCCCACGTCCCGGATTCGGTCGTCATCAGTTACCACCATCTTCAACACCGAGCAACAACACCAACCAGCCCCAACCATCACCACCTCTCGACAAGGCAGCGTCATCATCAATTCCCAAGATTCTAGTCTCAAGATCCCCACCAAGAGCATCTTCACAACCAACTATGCCGACAAACGTTTCAGCTTCTCCGCCACGAGTCACCATACCTAATCCTCAAGTCAACACCGATAATCAAGATATTTCCACGCCAGGAGAAGAACAAGCAGCCGTGCCGCCGTCGCAGCCGATGTCGCAGCCGTTGTCTCAGCCGCAAATGACCGCATCAACGCAATCAAACACTGTGAGACCGAACCCTACCACTAATGTGTCTCAGCCAACTGAGGAGTTTGGTAAAGGTAAACGAGTCCGCAAGGTAAAAAAGCCCTTCAATTTCATGGTTGACATGTCATCAAGGTGCACATGTGAGGAGAGTGAGAATTGCATTCACAAGAAGGTAGAGGCAATATGCATGGCAGCATCACACCTTCCGCGAGAGCCCTTGAGTCGTCATGAGGCAATGGCAAGTCCTGAAAGAGAGCATTGGTTGAAAGCCGAGGAAGAGGAGATTGAGAGTCTCATGAAGCGAGGTACATGGCGTCTTGTTGAGCCACCTCCAGGGAAGAAGGTAATTGGTGTCAAATGGGTGTACAAGATCCAGGTAAAAGGTGATGGTAGCCTCGATAGGTACAAGGCAAGGTTAGTGGCAAAAGGTTATTCCCAAATTCCAGG